GGAGGTCTTCTAGTCCAACCCCCTGCTCAAGCAGGAGACCCTAGACCATTTCAGACAGGGGCTGTCCAGTCTCTTCTTAAAACCTCCAGTGATGAGGGAGGGAGATAAGATGGATGGATGGATGGATGGATGGATGGAAGGAAGGAAGGAAGGAAGGAAGGAAGGAAGGAAGGAAGGAAGGAAGGAAGGAAGGAAGGAAGGAAGGAAAAAAAGAATAGCAGAATAACTGAATAACAGAATTGGAAAGGACCTTGGAGGTCTTCTAGTCCAACCTTGCTCAAGCAGGAGACCCTAGACCATTTCAGACAGGTGGCTGTCCAATCTCTTCTTAAAAACCTCCAGTGATGAAGCAGCCACAACTTCTAGTGGCAAGCTGTTCCACTGGTTAATAGTCTTCACTGTTAGGAAGTTTCTCCTTAGTTCCAGGTTGCTTCTCTCCTGGATTAGTTTCCATCCGTTGTTTCTTGTCCTGCCTTCCGGTGCTTTGGAGAATAACGTGACCCCCTCCTCTTCTTTGTGGTAGCCCCTCAAATACCGGAATCCTGCTATCACGTCACCCCTAGTCCTTTTTTTCTCTAGACTGGCCCTTCCCAAATCCCGCAGCCGTTCTTCGTATGTTTTAATTTCCAGGCCTTTAATCATCTTAGTTGCTTTCCTTCGCATTTTTTTCCCCCAAAGTCTCATATTGATCCTCCAAGAAAGCCGACAAAAACTGTGCAAAGTTATGGATTGGGCCCAAAGCCAACCTGATTTTTAGCAATTCCCCCTTGCTCCGTTCCACACTTTCTGCTTTTTTTGGAAAGACGTGGTTGAGGTTTAGCAGAGACAGAACCAAACAAGAAACAGATGAAGATGGATGGAAAAAAACTCAAAATATAAGCTTATGCTGCACATAAATTGCTTTTGCATGCAGTCTGGAAGGGAAGCCAAATTGCTTGGCCGGGAGCCTTACAAGCTGGAAACTCACAAGTTTTCCCTACTCAAATGTTACTCGCTCGAGCAGCGAGGAGTCTCGTTTGTTGGCGAGGTCACTTCTTACAAATTGGGAAATGGTCATTTCGGATTTTGGGGCGGAGACACAGAGATATATAAACTACGGGCTTTCTTTGGCTGCAACAGCAATTTTTAAAATTTCTTTTTATTCTGCTTTATTTTTACGGGTTCGGTTTCTACCGCCGTCTCACGCTTTCTAAAGTCTTCCCCGCCGGCTTTTCTCAACCTGAGACGCTCCTGGTGTCGTTGCGGACTCCCACGCCCATCGCTCTGAGCTGCACTTCCTACAGGCCGTCCTCGGTTTACAACAGTTCCCTTAGTGGCCGTTCAAAGTTACAACGGCAGTGGGGAAAAAAGCGACTTACGACTGCTTTGCACGGTTACAAACATTCCGTATCAAAATCCGCACACTTGGCAACTGACTCCTAGATATGACGGTCGCAGCGTCCCGGGGGAGTCACGTGATCCCCAAAGTCAAGTGGGGGGGAAGCCAGACTCACTTAACAACCGGGTTGCTGATTTAACAGCTGCAGCGATTCAGCTAACCGCCGTGGCCAGAAAGGACGAAAAATGGAGCAAAATTCAAAATTCTGCAGAAAGAAAGGGTCACTGTTTCCCCCAGAAATCCAATGGGCCAAAACTATAACTCCGGGCGCCAGCTTCTGCCTCTCGAAGGACGCCCCGGCTCGGGTGAGTTTGCGCCCTTCTTCCCCCATCCTGTCTCCGCACAAGCTCGGAGCACGGAAGGGAAACAGGGCAGAAACTCGGCCAGCCGAAGAAGCAGCCGGAGCCAAAACCTGGAGGATTTGCAAATGACCTCAGCCCTCAGAAATGAGGCTAGCTAAGGAGATTTTGCAAGGCTCAACATCTGCCCTCCAGATGACTCAGGACTGCAAAGGCCACGATTCCCAGCCGGGCTGTGCAGGCAGTAAAAATGCATCTCCCCCCCCTCTCTCTTTTCTCTTTCTCCCTCCACTCTCTCCCTTCTCCTCTCTCTTTTTTCTCTTTCTCTCTCTCTCTTTTCTTTCTCTTTTCTCTTTCTCTCTCCTTCTTTCCCCCCTCCTCTCTTTTCTTTCTCTTTCTCCCTCCTCTCTCCCGTCCTCTCTCTTTCTATTTCTCTCTTTTCTATTTCTCCTTCTCTTTCTCTTTTTCTTTCTCCCTCCTTCTCTTTTCTTTCTCTTTTCTCTTTCTCCTTCCTCTCTCTCCCCTCTTTTCTATTCCTCTTTTCTTTCTGCCTCCTTCTCTCTCCCCCTCTCTTCTCTCTTCTCTTTCTCCCTCTTCTCTCTCCCTTCTCTTTTTTTCTCCCTCCTTCTCTTTTCTTTCTCTTTTCTTTCTCCCTCCTTCTCTTTCCCTCTCCTCTTTTCTCTTTTCTTTCTCCCTCCTTCTCTCTCCCCTCTCTTCTCTTTTCTATTTCTCTTCTCTTTCTCCCTTTCTCTCTCTCCTATTTCTTTCTCCCTTCTTCTCTCTCCCCTCTTTTCTTTCTTTTCTTTCTCCCTCCTTCTCTCTTCTCTTTTTTCTTTCTTTTCTTTCTCTTTCTCCCTCCTTCTCTCTTTTTTCTTTTCTTTTCTCCCTTCTCTCTCCCCCTTTTTTTTCTCTTTTCTTTCTCCCTCCTTCTCCCTTCTCCCTCTCCTTTTTCTTTCTCTTTTCTTTCTCCCTCCTTCTCTCTCTCTTCTCTTTCTCTTTCCCCCTCCTTCTCTCTCTCCCCTCTCCTCTCTCTCTTTTCTTTCTCTTTCTCCCTCCTTCTCTCTTCTCTCTTTCTCCCTCCTTCTCTCTCTTTTCTCTTCTCTCTTTCTCCCTCCTCGCTCTCTCTCTTTTTCTCTCTCTCCCACTTCCCGCAACCAGCAACATTAGCTCAACGTTTGCTTTGGCCATTTTCTGGCCCTCTTTTTGCTAAAATAACTGTGTTTTTTTTTAATGGGACCATCTTTTCCATTTCTGACCGTTGCAGGGAAGAGGGAGTGAAAAGTGAGGGGGGAAAAATAGGAGCTGCTATAAGATGTACCGGGTTTTCCCGAAAATAAGACCCAACTGGAAAAGAAGGCCTAGCCTGATTTTCCAGGATGCTCTTAATATAAACCCCAAAAAATAAGCCCCAGTTAAGATCGTCAGCCAGACGGACTCATTTAGTACCGTATTTCCCCAAATATAAATCCTAAATGGAAAATAAGCCCTAATGCATCTTTGGGAACAAAAATTAATATAAGACCCGGTCTTATTTTGGGGAGAAATATGACAGAGGGTTAATTTTGGCTGGAGGAGTCATGAAATGTTTCTCCCAGAAAAGGGGGTCTAAATCCTAATAAATGCAAACTCCCCATCTCTGGGTTTGTTTGTTTTTAAGCAGAATATCTAAGGGAGAAGACATTGACAGGGTGCAGTCTCCCAGAAGGGCGGAGGAGAAACCAGCAGATGCCAAAAGGCAGGAGACAGAAGGGAGGGTCCCATAAAAGGGCTCAGCTGACTGGCTGGCACACCACG